AGTACGCAATAGGTTATAATTAAATATAATAAAAATACTGTAATTCAAACAACTTTTAGTACAATAATATTAACATAACTATTACTTACCCAACTATACTCTCTCCTGTGCTTCTGTTGCAACATTTTCAGTAACTGTTTTATTTTAGTCTACTCTATGAAAATTGTTTGGTTATAATATGTCACAAATTTTTGCTTTCTTCATTCACATAATTGAATGCTCTAGTAAAAACATTATATACAAAAGAAATGTGAAATAACCATAATATTTTTGATACTTACTGTAAAAGATATTCATGCCTCGGCTGGGTCAGTTGGTACTTCTATACGACAAAGCCGTATAGAAAATGAATGATTGAATGAATGAATGAATGTATGTAAAAATTTAAACCATTCCCATTTATTTAAACTTGACATATCTAATTTTTCAATCTCTTCAATGAGAGCCAGCTCCTTTTGATTAAACATATCATTGTTTACCAAGTCATTATTACACTTCCAAACATTGGATGTATTTTGAGGCTACTTGAGCACTGTTAAGGACAGAGTAACCATACAATGATCTGTAAGAGGGGCTGCTGAAATTTTCAAGTGGTGCTCGCTGCAGAGCCATTTGGGCAGAGCTGAGCTCCAGCGAGGGGGAGCTTGAGCTCTCGCTCCTCCTTTTTTGCACTTCTTCTACGAGTGATGTCACTGGGGGTAGGGTTAGGGGTGGGGTTGGTGTACGCATTAAAACAGCTTATAGGAGGATGAGCGAGAGCTCATGCTCCCCCTCGCTGGAGCTCAGCTCTGCTCAAATGACTCTGCAGCGAGCACCGTCTAGAAATTTTACATTCTGTACCATTTTTACATAGTTCACCAGAAATTAGCCAATAGTCTAATCTTAAACACTGTCCATTTCTTGAGAAATTAAACTATGTTCATTAAAAAGTGTCTGGGTTAGATACCATCCAGCAATCAACCACATTTGTATCTTTACATCAATTTAATATAACATCATTATACACAGAATGTGAACCTCGCCATGAATCAGCAACTATATTAAAGTCTCCCCCAATTAATACATTTTCAGTATTATATATTTTTTTTTCTATTCAGGGCCAGCCCGTGGCTTAGGCAGTATAGGCAAATGCTAAGGGCACTGTACATCCAGGGGGCACCAGAAATTAGCGGGGTTAAGTTGGTTTTGTATTTGATATTCCTGACACATTCAGTGATAGATGGCAATAACTCAAAAACCTCTTAGCCTAAAAAGATCTAAAGTGTGTTTCCTACAAAAAGACAAAGCTGGTTATGTTTCACAGCTGTCTTTTTCTTTTTCTTTTCACTCAACATTACGACCACTGCTCCGTTTAGTCGGGGATATGCGTTTAGCAGGGAGAGCTCGCGCTGAGCGGAGCTCTCAGTAAGTGCTTCTTTTTTCTGTTTTTTTTTTTTTTTTGCTCTATCCTGCATATTTTATTTTAAACACAACTAATTTTCTATTAAATGAGCACAAAAAGTTACTAAAGTAGTCTAATGCTTCATTCATTCATTCATATAGATCTGTGTTTTCTTACATTAACACCTCTGTTATCAAACAAAACACAATGAGAGATTCATCTGCTGCTCTTCACTAAATAACTATAGTAACTTTAATCAATATGCAAATACAATTAAAAGTTAAATAAATTTGATAGCTTTATTTAACTTCTGTATAAGCCGTTGTTTTTAATAGGTTAAACCTTTTATTTTATTGTCAATATTTTCTATTGTTTGCTATGTATTCTATTATTTGAAGCTATTTGTTGTCCCATATTTTTTACATCCTAATGTTGCTAATCAATAAATATCTATAGTGCTATCTGTTAGTTTTAACGTCAGCTAATGTTATAAAAGAGCATAGATGTTATGGAAAATAGTAATAGTTATGTAACAACCCCCATCATTACTTCCTCAAGCAAATGTGTAAATATTAGATCTATTTAGCAATAATGTTAATTGCATTGCCATATTTATCTGACGTTTTCCCAGCTTGTAGTAGTCGATCAAAAAGCTGTTTAGTTTCTTATGACTATACACTAGTAGTGGAATTTATTGCAATGTGACAGGGCGCCACCTGAAATCTTGCCTAGGGCACCAAATTGGTTAGGGCCGGGCCTGTTTCCATTTGTTAATCATATTACTAAGTTTTACTATTGTCCACTTTGGAGTTATATGCATAAATACAAAGTATAATGTAACATTTATTATGAATTTCTATTGCTACCATTAACCAGTGGCCTTCTGCATCACCTTTATGCGCAATTACAGAGCCTTCAAATCTGTTAAATCTGTCAGGCCTCTTCTAGGGCATGTAAGTTGTAATCATGATTCATAATAGATCTCCTGTTCTCCTCTGCCATCCACTTAACAGGAAATTGGGTGAAAAAACTTGTGTTGCTGCTGTAACTGTTCCTCAAGATTAACTTGGAGTTACTTGACTACTAGTTGAGTTTTTTATTTTTTTTTATCAATATGAAAGTTAGAACATTTTCAAACTATAAAGTCTGCTTAAATGCAACCGCTCACTCCGCCATCTTAAACCTTCCCCTCACATTGTGTCATGCATGATACTGTACATCATGCACGTTTTGTGCAAATCTTTTGGACGTGCTATGAAAGGTCAGCAGCAACTAGGGACAAAGTCAAGCTTACAGTCAGTTTACAACTGAAGCTTGAAGGTTAACTCGAATGCATTGAGGAATGCTGATGCGAGTCACATGAGTGGTCTTTACTGTATTATCCTGTGAGCGTAAGTAATTCAGAAGGATTTGAGAGCCAAGATCAATGTGCTGTTTTAGAACATAAGAGTCAGGCAGGTTCAGGAAATACTGTCTATGTTGCCGTTCACCGCTCTGATCTGCAGTGGCAGGTATGCATGCTAGGAATATTCCAGAAGACAGTGATGTAAATCAGAGATGATTGTCTTGCTTACAACTGGCACAATCTTAGGTTCAGTCTGTGACTTATAAGCTTTTTTTAGTGCTCGCGATTTTAGTGCTTACGATACCTTTTTCTCTTTCTTTTAAGATTTTATTTGGTTCCTTGTCAGTTCAAAGACATCTTATATGCAGTCTAGATGTATACGTCATCTTAAGCCTGATTTATTGAGAAGCAATGTTGATCTTGTGTTTGTGAGAATCAAATTAGAAAAGAATAGTTTGCTCAATAAACTGACAAGGATGCAGATTTGTATTAAAATAGTGCTAGTATTCCTGAAAAAAAAATCTGCTAAGGTATGTTATTCCTAAACCCTACACTTGAGTTTCAGCTGCACGGAGGAGATGATTTAGCTGTTCTCAGGTCCCAAATACTACTCTATCAGTTTGTGTGTATGTATACATGATTGGGATAGTATAATTGAGCCAGTATGTACAGTATTTTGTAATTGTACTGCATGCATTATAATATTTGACTGTTAGAATGAATTAACTTGAAGTGCTGTAAAAAAAAAAAATAAATAAAAATAAGGACTTCATGATACTGTTGCCATATGTCATATATAGAAACAACACCTTATACATACTTTACAACAACTGTTATTCTGACAGCTTTTACTTATTCCATTATTTTTTGCTGAATATTATAAAAAAATACATAATATTGTATTATTATGTATACAACATACAGTAGGTATAAATATTTCCTCCAGTATATTCATTCATTCATTTTCTTGTCGGCTTAGTCCCTTATTAATCTGGGGTCGCCACAGCGGAATGAACCGGCAACTTATCCAGCAAGTTTTTACACAACGGATGCCCTTCCAGCTGCAACCCATCTCTGGGAAAAATCCACACACACATTCACACACACATACTCATACTGGACTGTGGGGGAAACCGGTGCACCAGAAGGTGTGCAAAGGCAGGGAGAACATGCAAACTCCACACAGAAATGCCAACCAGTGACCTTCTTGCTGTGAGGCGACAGCACTACCTACTGCGCCACTGCCTCGCCCCCTTCGGTATATATTATAGCAAATAAATAACAAGTCTAGTATATCCAGGTGCATCAGAATAATGTAGCTAACAATGTTTAATATACTAGTCTTACCTGCATCTGAGCTAACTTATCTGAATTGTCCCCATCACTGCTCTTATGAAATGTCCAATCTGCATCATTCTCTTTATTTCTAAAACCTCATCATCACTGTCATGCAGGATGTGCCAGTTATGACCTTTTCTTTTTTCGCTTACCATACTGCATGGTGGTCGTCACTAATACACTGTCCCCTGTATTTAAATCTAATCAAATGTATAGCCAGTCAAATCTGATTTTATCTATAATGCAAATGCCATTAACATATGACTAATCATCTTTATATTTCTATCCATCCATGTTGTTATCGTTACAACCTAAAAGATCACAGCTGACATACTGACAGCACACATATTTGATTGATTTACAAAATAAAATATTTGCTAAAAACAAATATGTCCAAAATTAATATGTCATCATAACTTATTGTAGGCTATTTCTGATTGTTTGTGGGACTGACATAAGTTATTCCATTCAGCAACTACTCACAATAAACGCCAGTCTTTCAGAAATTGCACTGCAAAAAATAAATAAATAAATAAATAAACTGCTCATCATTTGACTTAACCAAAGCACATCATTGGCTAAACTAAGGTCTTTTATTAAAAAAAAATAAAAATACTTGAATGTTGGTATTAAAAAAACAGTGGCAGGGAAATGAAAATAAATATCATGTTGCCATATGACAACACCATGTGGTAGAGGGTTAAACCTGTAAAACATTCATATTATTCTAATGTAAGAATCATAAATGAAAACATTTAGGAGCTGGGATCACTAACAAACCTAAACTGTTGCAGTAAATTCCAGTTTGTATTTGTGATGTTTTTAATTGTTTACTTACCATTTTGATTGATTGATTGATTGATTGATTGATTGATTGATTTTTTATTCATTCTTACTGTGACTTCTAAATCTTGTCTATCTTTTATTTCTGTACAGGTGGAGCGAGAGATTGCCATCTTGAAGCTAATAGAACACCCTCATGTATTAAAGCTGCACGACGTCTATGAAAATAAGAAATATTTGTAAGTACTGTAGTTTGATGAAGGAGCGTAATGTTCTGCTAACAGTTTTTCAAAAAAATTTTTACTTTAGAGTTTTACTTTAGAAAAATGTACTACTTTTTTACATTTCTGTCTTGTTTCTAGTCCAAATATCTGAAAATTCATAAATCAAGAAACATTTTGTACACGATTAAATAGATTTTCTTGTTTTTAGAAATATTTAAAAAAAAAATTAAAAGCAAGCAAAATAATCTTGTTTTTTTTTTCTTTGTTCTTACTATTTTGCTTGTTTTAAGGAAAAACTTGACATATTATTTCTTAAAAAAAGAGAAAATATTTTTTACTTGTCTAGAAAATGCTTATTGATTTACAGAATCAAATTAAGAAATTTTGGCACATTATGAAAAATGCAAATGAAAATGCAAATGTGCCGAGGAAGTGGATTTACTTGTGCTTGACTGGCCTGCCTGCAGTCCAGACCTATATCCAATAGAGAATATATGGTGCCTGTACTGTACTTATTTTTAGGTATAATGGGACAAAATTACACCTGAAATTTCATAACTTGTTGTCTTCAGTGCCTAAATGTCTTTTAATTGTTGTGAAGAGTAATGGCAACTTTACAAAGTGGTAAATGCTTTACTATTCCAACTTAAATTGAAATGTGTTGCAAGAACCAAAATTTTAATACATGTTTAAAAAAAAAAAAAAAAAAAAAATATATATATATATATATATATATATATTAAAATTAAAATTAAAAGATAAACTCATTACGAACGCATTAAATAATGTTTGTCAAAGTAAATTTAGAAATGACTACTTTCTTTTTATCTATGTTTTTCATACGGTCTGTTTTTTTTTCTGATTTAGAGTTGTAATGATTTTTTAGATATTTAGTCTAAAAATGACAACAAAGCTTACAAAACAGTAAGAAAAGCATTTTTTCCCATACCAAAGTGTAGTTTTAGATATCTTAGAGTAACATGTCAAAGATCTATGCCATGATTAGCCATATTTGTGTGAAAGTGATCATTTTTATGTATTTTACATTTATTTCTTTATTTTTATTATTTCCTCAAGTAGTTTTACACTTACATCAGATACATGTCAGAGATCACACATCTGAATACACTCACAAATATAAGTACAAATTCTGTACATCCGCTTTCTCTTTTAGCAATATAAATGCTTTCCTTTTTGTGTGCATGTATATTGTTATATAATAAAAATAAATAAATTGATATAAAATAAATATTTATAAATAAATAAAATAAAATAAGAAAAAAGGGGGCGGGAGACGAAGAAATAAAAATAAATGAATAATTCAAATAAGATATACATGTACTGTACATACACATCAGCAACAAAACTATGTACATGTAGGGAGTGATCCTTCCGATTTTAGGTTAACTGAAAAGTTCAATTCTAATGTGATTTTGTTTAATTGCTCCATTTTTTTTTTCCGGATAAAAAAATTAATTATTCCATTTTCTCATTTACAAAAGCGGTAGATTGCTTTTATTTTATAAATTTACATCAATGCATTTAGGGTAGGATCTTTCCCTGTGACAACCATTTTCTTTTTTTGCCAATGCTCTTTTTGACAGCCACCAACAATATATTCATTAGATATTTATCTTATTTTGCAGTCATTTCATAGAAACAAAATATAATTAGAACTGCAAACTCAAAATGTGGAATTATAGAGCAAGAACAAAGTTTTGTGGTCTGTTTAACTTAAAAGTTGGCAAAAATGCAAGTGTAAATGTGTTTGATCTTTAAAGGTTTCAGAAGCGAGGGATTCTGCTGGTGATAAAACACTCTTAATGATGAAACTGTGAAGCAGCCTGTTAGTCATGGCAGTTTGAGAGCTGCTAATGGGGCCACGAGTCATCCTTCATGTAAACACCATGATAATTCACTTAGCATTTTTGGCGTCAACAAATCCTTATAAAAATGATTTGTTTATTTCATCACTGCCTTGTTTATATTTTTCTTTGATTTTAAGGCACTGCATGGTTTTAATATTTTTAATTTTGGTAATATTTTTAAAAGTGCCATAGAGTGAAAACCTGGGTATACCTAGGCATAACTGAATAATACGAGATCAGTACACAGAAATGACATAGAATTAGGTCCCTAAATATTTGGACATCGATACAATTCTAACATTTTTGGCTTTATACACTAACAAAATAGATTTGAAATGGGATGAAAATGTGCTTTAACTGCAGACTGTCAGCTTTAAATTGAGGTTATTTACATCCAAATTAGATGAACGCTGTAGGAATTACATCAGTTTGTAAATGTGCCTCCAACTTGTTAGGGGTCCAAAAGTAATTGGACAGAATAAAAATCATAATTCAAACTTTTGAATTTTGATTTTAAACCAATGAGACTTAAAATTAAATCCAACTGAATGTTTTATCATGAGTACTTTTTACAATTGCCTTACCCTCACTTTGCACTGTGCACTCTTGGTTCACATTCTTTCGAAGATGTCAGCCAGTTTTTTTCTCTGGCCTGTATAACCTAGAAGCAAAGAGATCACTTTCAACCCTACTTTATTGTTTAAGTGAATAAATGCTTGAAGGTGGAACTGTCTTTAACAGACTTTTAATGACATATTAAGAAAAAACAGATCATTTATTGAGGTTCATATATAGACTTATAGCTAAATGAATGTTTTTAGATTTGATGCTATGCACTTTACATGCTGGTGTTCTCCTAAATATTTATAAACCAAAATGTTTTGGTTTAAAAATGCACAACATTATCTATGAATCTTGCACTCAGGGATATGCCAAATATTTTGTCCAATCATAAACACCGTTGCATGCTATTAGGGGCAGAGGTATTCTCAAAGCATTTAATCTATTTACATTTACTGTAAACACTTGGCAGATGCTTTTATTCAAAGTATCTGTTTGAACAAAACATTAGACATTCTGGATCCATGTACACTTAAAGTGTGTAGCACTACTGTAAGTAGGGCTGAGCAATATGGAGCAAAAGGAACCTATCATTGTTTTCTTGAACAATCTTGCGATTTTGATTTTAATCATGATATTGACACACACAGACATTTTATAGTGTGAATCTGAAACATATTTCCAAAGGAAAACAATTAGATCTTAATATATAATATGACTCTAAAACAGATATAAGGAAAAATCACAAATAAAGATATAATAAATTACTCTAGAATAGGTCTATGGCAAAACAAATAAATAGACTGTATGTGTGCGCCGTCAATCACAAGTAAGGCTTCGATGTCCTGTTTAACCACTTATCATAAGTATTTGTGTGTACTTTTGTACGTGTACTTTTCTATGTGCCCAATTTATTTCTTTATTTTTTTGTCGTGCATTTATCAAAGACCTCTTTGTGAAGCTGACTTGAAATAGGCCGCTCACATATGACGTCCTTTGCGTGCACAAGTTCGTTGTTTCCAATGGAGGGGTGCGGCATATTGGGAGTGACGCATGCATGTTTTCCATGCAGTTGAAAACATCTTTCATTCCTTGTATGGAATATACACATTTTGGTAGACTAAGGGCATACTTACACTATGTACAGTTGCCTTGAACCGGGCCGAAGCATGCTTGTACCCCTTCCCATCTCCCCTGACACCCGCACTCACATTACATACGGGCCTGGGCACGCTTGCATCATCAATGATGCGCAGTTCAGTAAGCGCTTTTGCTCAGCACAGTAAGGATTTCTCTAGTTATATTGTTTTAGTCATTTGCGATGCGGTGAAACGCAGTCAGATATTTCGCCATACAGATTAGCCCCTTTAACTTCTCATAAACGACCGTAAAGTCCCTGTGCTGCAGGAATTATGAGGTTTGCTAAAGGTGCAGCTGTCGTGCAGTGAGGAGTTTGCGTCTTTATTTAAAACAGTGTGTGTTCATTATACTGTAAGTATGATTAATAAATCCATATGAAACAATCCAGTAAAAGTCACGTTTCGTCTTCGGTCTTGGGCTCATGTGCACTTTCACTCACACTACAACCATACCGAGCCAAAGCCAAAGTGAACCGCACTCTGGCACACCACTTCCAACCAGGCCAGTCCAATACAGTATAATGGATTCAAATACTACAAACTCATTGAGTCACATTAAGCAATGCAAAGCAGTGCTTTAAACATATAAGCACTCGATTATTATATGGCAAATCAAGATTGAATCAAATCTCATTGTGAATCATTGAATGGATTATAAATGCATGAATCGCACATTAAATTGGTTATTTAACCAAATATTAGCCTCACCCCTATTGTTATTGTTAAAAAAAAGGTAAATCCAATGAGTTTTTTTATATTTGAGAATTTGACTGTTCCACTTTATACCACAAGACTAGCAATAAAACATCTTTAAATACAATTTGTAGTATGTAAAGTAAAATGCTCAGCATTTATTAGTACACCCCTCACAAATGTATCTTTTAAATTCATATTTTAATAGGAAGCTATATAATATTATATTTGTGCATATCTATAAGATTAGTCAGTACTGATGCCAAATCTAGAGCATATATAACAAAAAAACACTTACGGTAACGGTACAAAAATCTCGGTAATAATCTAGATTAAAATGGCTCATCTGAATTCTGCCGAATGCATTCAGAATACTGTATGTGTGCTACTCAAATAAAAAAGTGTTTGAGAGCAGGTTTCTCAAGCCAGGTGGCGCATTAGACCAGGGCTCATCTCCTGTTTCCAAAATGCATCACAAACTGCTTGAGAAACTGTTCTACCATGATAATTGGTGATGAAAATAGCTTATGTTCAATAAGATGCATTTGTGTTTACTAACTGTTTATTCAGTTAAACACGAATTTTGAACTGTAGGCCTACATAAGCTCCAAACAGCGAATTTATTATTATTTTTTTTGATCACCTCAATCTGACTAATGTTATAACTGAATTAAACAGAAATGGAATTAAGACATGCGGAGTATGTATGTATTAGCGGCATTATTTAAGTAAACAATGCGATCAGTTAACACCATCATATAGGACTTTTTTTTGTCATATTTTCCAACAAGATCCACAGACGTGGCTGTCAGTAAAGGACTGCACACACACACACACATTGCGAAAAGCGTAAGTTTTTTTCTCTCCATTTGGCGTGCGTTATTAAATTTCGTAACACTCTCACCAGTCCTTACTCCTTATTTGCGTTTAATACCCCAGTTTGTCACGGCGGCATGAATGAAATGTTCATGAGTCAAAGTGAACCTGCCGAACTGCAGTTAAAGTCAGCCGTCCTGCTGAATTTTGAATTCAGCCGTGGTTCATGGTTCTGATCACACACTTCTTAACGTCCCTCCCAAATGTTCTACTTCTGTAAGATTTTTGTTTGGGTTTGTAATGTAATTTTTTCTCTTGTGTCTGTTTGCAGGTATTTGGTTTTAGAGCATGTGTCTGGCGGAGAGCTATTTGACTATCTGGTAAAGAAGGGCCGGTTAACACCCAAAGAAGCTCGAAAGTTCTTCAGACAGATCATCTCAGCCTTGGACTTCTGCCACAGTCACTCAATATGGTGAGTGTGACCAGCCATTTCAGAACATGTTTTTATGGAAAGCACAAATTAAAATGCAAAACTTCAGCAGTGCATCTTAAGAGCCAGTCCAGCCTTTAGTTTTTCCCACCTTTTCAATTTTAATAGATTATAGGTGACCAGCAAACTGGCACAAACTTTTCTATTTGATGCTTGTTAAATTCGTATTCATACCCTGGGGCTTCCTATTAGAACCATCAAGATTTCAGACTCAAAAGCTTTTTTTTTCTCTCTTAAAAATTGTCTGAGGAAAAAAGGCACGTCGCCTCTCATTGTTTTTCTTGATTTATGATCAGAGTCTGTTTTTTAGAGGGTTTGGATGGTCTGAGAGAGGATCTGCCATAGTGAATCTAAATGCACAGCTTTTTTTTTAATGTTTGAAAGGTCTGAGAGCAGAATTACCTTCAAAAATCTAAACGATTAAGGGATTTTGCACATTTAAGTGGTCATGAAGTCTGCATACAGGCTTTTAATTGTAAGCTCAAAAGTATGACCACGTCAGTTGAAGACAAAATCACTATAATCTTTTGCTCAAAAAAAAAAAATCATTCACTTCTTCAGATTTTTTGAGCTTCTTGATAGCTTTTCACACATGAGTGGCTTTTGCACTTTTAAAACCAAAAGCTCTTTATCCAATTGATTACATTTTGTCATCATGAAAAAAATCTCCGCAGTACAAACATTTCTAGACATATTTCATTTGGCAAAATATGTGAAGCTATTATTTGTATAAGATGGTAATGTAGTTTGTTTTTGATAATTGGCCCTGTTTGGTTCACTGAAGCATAAAGAGGTGTTATTAAAACCTGAAAAGGGTGAGGGCTAAACCAATGATGTATAATAATAATCATGTTCTTTTCCAAACATCATTGGCAAATGTTGACTTTTGAACTTTGTCATCAGTTATAATAGAGGAATTACCAATCTACGTCACATGACGTCACACGGGTTCCCGGTTGCAAAAAGAGACTGGTTGCGATAGCAAACATGTCGTGTTGTGAGGTAGCATGCCAAATTCCGTCAAAATAGAAAACTAAACTTTTACCGTACACCACACTGCTTTTAATGCCAACCACAGACGTCTTTGGCTAAAAGGGAGCTGAATCGAGTGATGACCTAATTAAAAATGCTGGACTCTGCAGTTCTCATTTCATAACAGGTAAGTTCACACTATGCTGAATCATACACATTACTGCAACAATGATTTCAGCAAAAATTCTTAAATATGATTAATTAAACTGAGGACACTAAAATGCTAAGAATGAAATGTAAAATGTGTAGGTTCACATACCCTTCTATACAGGTGCAGTTTGCTGTCAGAATGCAGTAGTTTTGCTTGTTGATGATTACGCAGGCCTTGTAGCTCAGTCTTTCTTCCTTGTCCTTGGCTAGGCAGAACATTATTTTTTAGCACTAGAAAGTTTAGAATTTGGATCATTATTTCTTGCACATGACCACACAGAACAAAAGTGTAGGCATCCAAAGACTTGTAGGCCTTTAACTTCTCACTTGTAAAATCACTTGGAAATAGTTGTATATTTCGGGCTGTATGCTTGGCCATTTCATAATTTCATTTCATCCATTCAAAGGGTGCTTTCTCAAATAAACCTGTCAGCAAACTCCACTCACTTTAACGTTAATTTTGCCAAATAACTGTGCTTATCACTGGGTGACGAGCTGTTATAATATGCTGAAAGCATCAAGTAAATAATATATATAATATGTAATCAATATAACTTATATCTAAGACAACAACAAACTTTGTATCACATCGGATGTCATTCCCTCATTGTAAATGGTAGCATTTCTGCAACCTTGCTGTGCGTGCATCCTGAATGTTTACAAACATTCATCTATTGAGCCTTTAATTTCAGAAATTAATTAATTTTGGAAATTTTTAGACACTTGTCCTGTACTGTAATCAAAAACAGAATAAAAAACTGAGAAATTCTTTATTTAAAAACACAAGGTCTTCAAAATTCTAAAGTCTTGTACCTCAAACAATTAATGAACATTTTAGCAACATTTCAGAAATCACATTTAAATCTTAAAAATATTGAGTTCCTCAAATTGTATTAAAGTTCTTTGAACATGAATTTTAGAAAATGACAGGTTCAAAACATTACTATTACTCATATATGTTAATGTCATTATTAAGTGTAAGTGAAATGTTAAGTAAAGGAAAGACTTTCATGGCACTACATGTGGTGCAGGTATGAATTACAACAGTGCTTGATTTGAAAGTATAGGTGCTTTTAAAAGTCCTTGAAAGTCCTTGAATCTGCTGTTTATAAAAGAGTGAGAACCCTGTCTAAGCTAGGTTTAAACTGTAAAACATAATCTGACAAAAAGACATAAAGACTTTTCTAACTAAACTAGGGCCAGACAGAATCTAATTAGATCCACTTATTTGGCAAACAAAGCAAGTCTCTCATATAATACATCTAAAAGACAAAGACAGAAAATACTACTTATTACTTTAACTGTATTGTAAATAAATCATTATAAAATATTTAATATTACTATTATTTTATCACAATAATATTAGTGACAAGATTAAAAACTAAATAAATATAAATGTACACACAATTACACAAGTAAATAGACTCAATGATGGGTTAAAAATCAGCGGAAATCTGTGGATTTCTGCGCACGCAATTTTCGTGTGGGCCTAGTCATGCAACAAATGCAAACAAACAAAAACAAACTTATTTTAAAGTTATACAAAGTTAAAAATGTTAAGTCATTTTGATGTAAGTTTAGATGACTAGAAAATGTAACTTGATTCAACTTAAATATATAAGGCAGCAATATTTATATACTGTGGCAGAGCACATAGTATTTGGACTGACCATAGCAGGTCGACACATGTCAAGGTTTTTTTTTTTTTTTTTTTTTTTTTGGGCCAACAGTCACATTTACTGATTAGCGATGGTGGAAAGAGTACTGAGAAATCATACTCAAGTAAAAGTTGCATTACTTGCCTAAAAATGAAGTGCAAGTACAGTAAAAGTATCTGTTGTAAATATTACTCAAAGTAGGAGTAAAAGGTAGACATTTCAAAAGTACTCAAGAGTGGTAAGTAGTAAGTATTATGCCATAAAAAGTTGATGTGTTTCCCAGAGATGGGTTGCGGCTGGAAGAGCATCCGCTGCGTAAAAATGTGCTGGATAAGTTGGTGGTTCATTCCGCTGTGGCGACCCCGGATTAATAAAGGGACTAAGCCGACAAGAAAATGAATGAATAAATGAAGTTGATGCGTTTACATGTATTTTGTACATGTGTGTAAACGTAACATTCTGTAGTGCATTGAGTTATTGACCAGCAGACACAAAGACATTAATGTTGGGTAAGATTTAGGTCATGACATCAGGTGACCAAAATTCAGTGTCTAACCAGCATCTAATCAAATGACGTTGATATTTGATTGATTTTAGGTTGTTTGAAACTGACCAAAATCCAACGTTTAGCCAACATTTTAAACCAACGTCATAATGACATCAAAAACTGACATTTATTTGTCAGGTATGGCAACCAAAATCGTCCACACAACGTCAAGCTGTAACATCATTAGACGTTAATATTTGGTTGATTTAGGGTTGGCCATTGGACATTGACGTCAACCTGATTTTCATTTCCAAACAAATTGCAACGTCTCCACGATGTTAGAGTACATCGTCTTGTGCCTGTTGGCTGCTTAAGGCCCTTTCGGTCATAAAACAGTAAACATCCATCATCGTCTCATCAGCGACGTGCATCTAAACAGTCTCTGGGTCAATGCATGTAAAGATTTTGAAAATCCCCTTAGACACTTTTAATGTTTCATAATAAGTCACCCACGTCATGAGGTAGTTTATTATCATGAGAATGACCTTCTATATGTGATTTGATTGGACAGGAATCACAGGACTGATTTTTCTAATCTCCATAGACAAGAAAAAATAAAGTAGTGACTACAGATTGCAGGAAAGTAGTGGAGTAAAAGTACCAATACAGCACTAAAAATTTACTCAAGGTAAAGTAATAATACACATTTTTAAAACTACTCAGTAAGTTACAAATCTTTGGAAAAATACCCAATCACAGTAATTTGAGCATTTATAATCAGTTACTTTACACTACTGCTAATTAGTTAACAGGTTCTACACTCCTTGTTGAGATATTCTCATATTAAAACACAGTGTTCCAGGACACTCTATAGGCATGGGCTGGTATTAGATTTTGACGGTGTGGTAACCTTGGATAAAAAAGTCACTGTTTTACGGTATTGTGATTACTGCTCTATTATAAATTCTTTTTAAATGTTTTTGTAAAAAAAAAAATTCCTTTGAACACAAAATATTTTGTTTTGAGAAACATTTTAAATATTTTGTAAACGTAAACATGTCAGGCTAAATAATTGAAATAAATCATTAACATAGTCTTCTTTAGTTAAAAAAAAACATTTCATTAAAATTTAAAGGTGCATCTATGGATATTTTGTTCTGCTGAAGATACTGTTTTCCTAAAAAACTTTAAACAAAATGTAAAAAAACAAACAAACAACAACATTAACAAAAAAAAAAAAAGCGTACAAAGACCGTTGGTGTTTTAAAAACCCTGACTTTCCAAACCACGGTATACCATGAAACGGTTATCAACCCATGCCTACTCTTGTACTATAATTACATTTTCCAAGGGTGATGGTACTGTTTGCATGCACTTCATATATAATAAATGATAATCTCAACACAAGTTTTATACCTAATAAATAATAATCTCAACAATTATTTCATACATAATAAATTATCTCAACAAATGCAAATCTTTACTTTGAGCTGGACCTCTGAAACATTAAGAGATGAAACGGATAACACCTGTATAAATCTAAGGAATATTGAGTGTTATCAAGCTAATCTGTTTAGAGATAAAACACAGTAAAAAAGGTAAGGTTACATACAGTTCATTCATGTTGTCCCAACAGAAATCCATTAAGTTAACGT